CCTATGAATGACTTACCAAATTCGGTCTCCAGACAAGAAGTCCAGTTTGGAAAATGAGCCATAGTTACATATACACATGAATCCAGGACTGTCTGAAGTTTACAGGCCCCAAGGTAGATTGTATCACAACAGATTTCCATGCAGCGAATCCCTGGCCAAGAGTCGCATCCACAGTAAAAGTGAAGACGGAGGTACGCAACCTGGCCATGCGGCATTGGAGATAGCCCAGTGCCTGGCTATGGGGGCTGCTGGGCTGGTTTGCAGCAGCGGTTTGGCAACCTCAGTAACGGAGAAAGCTTTACAGTTGGTTTCTGTGTGAAGTTATCACTGCTAATAGCATTTTCTGTCTAGTTTCATCACCTAATAAATATTTTGAAAATGACCAAATTAACTTGCACAGAAAATTGATAAAGAGCACAATTTAAAACCTGTAGCTTTTAAAGAGAAGTAGACATGTAATAGCTGCTTAGCCACTGCACCTCAAAGCTGAAAACTATTTCTCCTTGCTAACATTTGATGTTCTTTAAAAGGGTGAATTATCTAAATAGTTTGTGCTTTATTTAACAGAAATTTCCAATAAACCTCATTCCGTCACTTTGAGTTATGTCACTTCATGCCATGTGACATGACAGCATTGATGTAAGTTTGACAGGCAGTGCCAATGCTGACATGTCAGCCTGAGAATTTATGACAAATTATATGCTACACATATTTTAAACTAACTACTGCAGATTGCCAAGAAAAAAGTCCTTAAGATGTGTAATTACTCTGGGTGCATCTTTAGATTGAAAACAATTTATTCAATTCACACAGTTATAGTGATTCAATGTTCAGAATGGCACCTAATTAAAAAAAAAAAAAAGAAATTTATATTGAAATTTCCCAACTAGCTCCAGTTACAATATATTATATAGCAAAGGAAAATGAGATATGTTAATGGGTTTGGGTTTTTTAAACACTGTCATTAAATAATACTGTTAGCATTTAATAATTCAAAATAATCTATCTCAGATAAATCTCAAGATTATATATAGGAAAGAAAGACCCCAGCTGAAGAGAGAAAGAATTGCTTATGAAAATTCTCTTCCAGCAAAGAATACAACATGGCAAGGGAGTGTCTTTCAGTAGAGGGGCTAATTGATCTAAATAATTATTTTTCTGGGTTTTGATATTTCTTATTCTCATAATGGAAGAAAAAGAGACTGAATGCCTAAGAACTAACCAAATTAGTGAATTTTGGTTTGGGTTTTGGCAGAAAAATAGCTTATTAGATGAAAAAAAAAAAAAAAAGGCAAAAAAAGCATATAAACTCCAAATGTGTAAACTGTGTTAATCTGACAAAATTGTTCTATACATTAAAAATACTTTAGGCATTCAGTTCTAGAGCACCAGAAAACTGTCTCATTTGGTATAGACATAAATGTACCAGAATTCAATTAGTTCAATTCTTCTTCAACAACTGACACAAAAATCAAGTCATGAAAACAGGTTGATGAGTAAAATGAGTAGATCTTTTGCAGAGCATACAGATGACTGTACCTGTAGCATCATGGGGTTTTATGCTAGCTGCACTTCCATGCTGTAACATTTTCACTATAAAAAAACTCTTTTCTTTCAGGATGTGCGAAAGGAGTTTGATTTTGGCTCAGTTTTCACTAGAGAGATGGAAGGGTGTCAGCAACACAGCCCCAGTTAGTGCCAATCACACCCTTTTCAATAGAAGAGCCTCCGTTAATGCCCCGTTTTGACCACTGCACATTTTCCTGGTTATGCCATGTTGGGTGCTACTACAGCCCTCCGTGACAGTTTACACTGTTGCCACGTAATAACGTTATCAGCCAGGGAATGTTTGATTTAGATTACTGCACCCAGTACTACCTACAAAGTAATCACAAAGGCACAGTCCACTGATTAAAAGGATGCCTTCTGTTGAGTGTTCTGAAATTAATCAGGCATTAATTTCAAATGAAACAGCAGCTATTTAAAATCATACATAAATGCACACAGATGTTTGACAGAGCTGTCCACCATCCCGACAGTCAGGAGCACGTCCAAGTTCCTGGAGTCTCAAACAGTCCTCACTGCACAGAAAGCTCCTTTTGTCTCTATTCAGTGTGACCATATATCAGTATGTTGCTTTTTACATCCATCCTTAGGAGCTTTAAAAGGTCCAGGAAAGAAGCAAAGCTGTGGAGAGCCAAACCTATCTGGACAAAAGGTTACACCTGGAATGAATGTCCTGCCAGATTTGAGGACAAAGCTAAGTTTGTGCTTTCCATAGTTTTTTTCAGGCTACTTTTATACAAACTAAAATACAACTCTTCACAAAGTCAGAGAATCATGGTGTTTCGCTGAATGTTAGCACAAGGACAAAATAAGGCACTGCAGGAGCATGCACATGATGGAACAAAGACTTCAGCTTCATTTAGGGCAGTTACCGCTTCTGTTGAGAAGGATCTCCAGCTTCCTGGGAGTTTCACGTCAAGGTACATCTTAGTAGACAAGAGCCTGACTGTCCTGGATTGACCCACAGACCTGATGGCTAAATCCTGTGTAATTACGTTGAAGGAGAGGTACATTCTGAGTCATCTGGGCCCAGAGCTGTGGGCTGAATGCCAGGCAAGGGAGAACATGGAGCGGGAAGGGGTAGTCTTGTTCTCTCTAGTGAGGTTACATCCTGTGGGTTAGCGCACAACACAGCTGGTTTGAAAGCCAGATTTCTGTCTCCTGTCTGTCTCAAAGACGGCTCCTGGAAAAAAAAAAAAAAAAAATCAGTAACACAGCTTTCCCAAAGTCATGTTTACAGGTCATTCAATGTTTAAAAGATGCTAGGCATGGAAGGCCAGAGTTCTGAAGTGAATGGACGTATGCCATACAAACGTTGGAAACACACAAAGCTTGAAGATCATTCTTCTCGAGTTCATGTTTTTCTGCTCAAAAGCTTTCATGCCGCAGATGAACTCTGAATTATTAGTCAGTGCATTTGGAGTAGAGGCCAATAAAAGTTTTACAGCTGAAAAGGGCCAGAATTAAACATGAGTGTCACATTTCTGACAGAACTTGATTGGCAACAAAAGGGCTGGGCTTATATTTGAAAACATCTGCTAGTAAAGCCTCAGCTTGAGCCTCCACCCAGAAACCTGGGAAAAGTAAACCAAATTAAACAACTTCACTTGCTCAGACAGTTAGTTTTCCTCATTCATGAGCACATATCAATCATCTTAAAAAAGCAGGGGTCTGCCAAAAGAAGAAAAAAAACCAAAACCAACCACCAAACCAGAAAATCAAGGTAACATGTTAAGGACATACAAGAAGTGCTTGAAGTGTAAGTTTAACCATTTTTGCAGTTGTCTCCTCTGCTAGATCTGGGCAGCTGGTTGCCTCACTCACAGCAGAGCCTGAGGGCACGTCCCATTGCCCACCCCCCAATAAGCCCTGCAGTACTGTTCCTTGCAGTTTCTCTTATTTCACCTTTTAGATCAGAACACATATGGTAATGGGAACTAATGGCCTATTTGTATATAGGAGGCTCTTAAACAGTTTCTCCTCTAAATCAATGTAATTTTAACAATTTCTGCTTCATGAAAGACTCTAAACAAAGTAGCTTTTTTTTTTTTTTTCCTCTTGCATATATCTTTTGCCCCCTGACACTGGAAACTATTGCCTTGTATTAGGATCATCTCTCACCCTGAGTACTCCTAAGCATAGTTAATTACTCCAGACTTTAATACTTGGTTTCAAACAGCTCTCCATGACGTCTCTTGATAAAATAAAGCAAACCCTCTATCCATCATAGTAAAACATGCATGTAGAATAATGGTGGTTTAGACCTGACCAAGGGTTCTTTCCATTCATCACCCTTTTTCTACAGGGGTTGGTATCACCAGCAAGCTTACTCTCTTGGGTCACCTTCTCTTCTGGTCTTCTTTGGTAGAGGAACTGGGTTCTGCATGCCAGCTGCCAGGCTTACAAAGAGTGTCAGCATTTCATGTGTATTGTCCTGTAGCTCCACCACTGACAGCTTCACAGACCCCTGCCAGGAGTCATGCAGCCTGCAAGCCAGAACCACAGGCACTGCTGGACTTGAAAGGATCTACTAATATTGCAGTGAGACGTGACAGGTCTCCAACCTGTGGCTCACCAGACCTTCCTATGTAAACTAATTCAGTAGCTTACAAGTTTCACCTGACAACCATTATACTCAAATTCTTTGTTCTCTGTTCAGCAGAGGGAGGTATCATACAACATGTGGTAGGTGCGCTGTATCAATATGTTGATGAACACTGACTGCACTAGAACAGATTCAATGTGTGGCATACAGTTAGGCTCAGATAACTTGGTGAAAAAGTAGTAGCTTCAAGAAATACATTTCTCTAGATTACTGATGATAGGCCATGTTTGGTACCTGCATCTGTTTCAACTGTCTGTGTCTGTCAGGGTAGTGTACAGGCAAGTGGCCAGCACTGGGGAGGGATTCGGGGGACAGTGCGGCGTGGGGACGGCGTGCCTTGGTGGCGGGAGCTGCTGCCCGGCACCTGCCCCAGCCCATCTCCTGGTTCTCCCGTGACCGCCCCAGGAGCTGGCAGCACCCCAGCGCACAGCGCCGTGCCTCTGGCCTGTGGGAACGGGGTCTCTCCCTGGCTCTCAGCATGTCTGAGGCAGAGGCGCAGGGCCCCCAGCGATCCGAAGGCACTGGGGCATGCACAGTGGACGTTCCCTCCCTTAAAGAAATCGAGCAGCTCCTGAACACTGGTCGACCTTCTTGCAACCACGTTGATGAAGTATGGCCTAATCTCTTCTTAGGAGACCTGTAAGTACAGCTTTATGGATGGACACACCTCCCTCATATGCTGTCTGTTAGTGTGCCTCATGAGTGCGGCTTCAGACAGCTCATAGTTTTGCTAATTGCTGTCATTTATGCTGCAGATAGCATGGTTTCTGAGATAAAATTATGACTAAGCTGGCACTTGTTTCTTGGTTAGCCCTTAGAAGCAATGCACGGGCTGATGCTCCAGCAAATAGCTCGGGAGATGCAATCACAGCGCTTTTTCTGCTCCAGGAGTATCTCTGTGCCCATCTCATTTGTTTGTGTTTGTCTTTTCGTTAGAGTAACAGCTCACAACAGATTTGTTTTGTGGAAGATGGGTGTGACCCATGTTTTAAATGCTGCCCACGGCACAGTGTACAGCCACGGAGGCCAGGACTTTTATGGAGCAACCATTGATTACTATGGTGTACCAGCCCATGACCTCCCAAGCTTTGATATAAGCCAGTTCTTTTTCTCTGCGGCACAGTTTATCCACAACGCTTTGAACACGCCAGGAGGTACAAAATTATTGTTGGTCATATTTTTATGCGAGTTGGCAGCCCCTTGTAACAGGTCAGCTCCATGAGCTCAGTGGCGCACAAGTCACTTCATGGTCTCCTGCCAGCTGCTGGTCACTTGCATGGTGGGTGGCAGGAGGGAGTGCTGGGTATGTGGGTGTAGCTCTATCTAGGTCCCAAAAAGTTGATGTGAGAACAGGGATGACCGGTGCAGGAGAGAGATCGGGGCAGAGAGGAAAGGAGGCAGAGTAGAGAGAAAGAAAAACTGGTTCAAAAAGGGAGAAGCAAATCCATACATTTAAACTGGTCACCTTCTTTTGAGACTCTCTTGTGGCAGCTGCATTTCTAAGGACAAATGACTAAAGAGACAAAAGTTTCTAGAGCCACCAACCACATGAAGAGGCTCACATATGGCAGATGAGCTTCTTGTGTGAACAGGGCCTGCAGGGCTGTGTCCCCAAGGAAAAGATTTACCTTTACCCAAGAAGATTTATAGCGTGTTGCACAAGAGACTGAGCTTCTTGGCACTGGTGCAATAAAATACTAATTAACCTGTATTACATAAAGGACCGTTTCTTAGCATGAGTAAACTGGCATTAATAGAGCTGTCTGAGTCTGTATCACAAGTTCTGCCTTCAAAAGAGAATTACAGTCACAGCAAATTGCCTTATTATGCAATGGTACTAGGCCACTCATTTTTCTTGGTGGCTAATGTGTTAGTGCCACCCTTTCAGGCCAGATTTTAGCATTCTTGTTCACCTAAGTAAGCCCCCCTGAAACCAAGGGGTCCAATTTTCCTCTTTCTCACAACAGAACTTCATTACTTCAACAGGGTTTTCTTTGATGTACCACAGTTTCTGAGATTAGGTTGGGATCTCATGGCACTTCTCGTACTAGTGTAAGAACTGCAAATTAGATTTAATTGTTAGCAGTTCATGTGATCTGTAAGAAGGGTAAGAAATACATCATGTTTGCGGTGTTACTCTGACCAAGCTGGAGAAGGCAGAAGGGGTTTGCCTGCCCTTTAAATTAAACTTCATCCACTGTACTGCTCTTCTATGGTAATAATTTCTTCTTTTTTTTTTTTTTAACCAGCTAAGATTCTGGTACACTGTGCAGTTGGAGTAAGCAGGTCAGCTTCCCTAGTCCTAGCATATCTCATGATAAATCATCACCTCTCCTTGGTTGAAGCCATCAAAACAGTGAAGGAACATCGATGGATTTCACCCAATCGTGGCTTTCTGAAACACCTGCGAAATTTGGATGTTGAGCTACGGCAAAAGAAGGACTGCTGAAAGGGCAAACCCATTTACATTCACTTTTCTGAGTTTCAGCCTTCAAAACCATTGTGCACATACAGCTTCTATGATCAGTGCAGGCTGAAAAAATGAAGAAATTTATGCATCAAAGTCCACAGAACTGTAAATGGATTCATTCTGATAGCTCAGCTCCTCCAAGACCAGCACAGCCAACATCAGCACCCTAAGCACGGCATGCCTGTGCCTAGTGTGGTGCTACCAGATGACTCCACTGGAGTGGCTAAGATCGATTGAGTTTGTTCCTGGTTTGTGCTAATGCCAGAGGCAAGTTCAGTGATTGCATCTAGCTGTACAGTATGTTTGAGTACCCTTTACTTGGGAGTGTAACATAACCAGCTTCCTCGGTTTGGTTACAGTTCTCCTAAGAACAACTTCTTTGTGTTCAAGGCCTGGTGATGTGGAAATCGCAAGGGCAATTTCTTAAGAGGCCAGGCACTGCTACAGAAACATTCCTCTTTCACTGGTCTGCTAAATATCGGTGTGCTACAGAAAGCTCCCCTTCCCATGGCAGGAAGGTTGGAACTACATGTTCTGTAAGGTCCCTTTCCAACCTGAACTGTTCTATGATTCCTTGAAAGCCGTGAGAGCCCGAAGACCCACACCAGCAGAACTAACTTTGGTGCAGCGCTCTCTGCAGCGTCTGGGTCAGCAAACCCACAAACCTTTTCTGTGTAGATATGTTTTCAACAAGATAAGGTATATTATGTAGTGTTGAAGACATGAAAAAAAATGTCAGATCTTCAACGCATTTTGTAAGCTTGAACTCCTCAGTTCATTCTCCCTCCACATTATCCCAAATCAGCTCTGTGTATGGCTTTGAATCATCCCTGGTTTAACATCAGGTAGAAACTTGGGATCAATGCCTAGGCTTAATTGATACAAAATTAGTTTTAAGCTGTTTTGAGGATGTCACTTCTCCTATCACCAGTTAATTGGTACTTAAACCAATGTGATTTTTAATACAGCAACAGCATTTGAAACCCATGCTACCACCCTGCCTGAAAACTAGCTTGTTACCTTGTGGTGAACCATGGAGTGATAATCAAATCTATTTTTGCCCTTTGCAAATCGTTTGATTTATTGATTAGCTGACCTTATAAACCTTCCCTGTCAGATTAAGTAAACACCTTTCTGCTTGTTTGTTTGCATTAGAAGCATCAGTTCTGATCATTTTCCTCCCTGCTGAAAGAGACTTGCAAGGTTATTAGAAGATTTAAACAGTGATGACTTGAGAGTTGAACCCCTTCCTTCCCAGACCCCCTATACTTCCTAGTTCTTGGAGGAAGGTCATGACATGAATGCTGTTTCTGGCTAGCACTTACAGGAATGTAGAAATCCCTATTTCAGTGTACACAAATGCTTTGCAAAATAAGCTTATTTAAGATTCGTTCAGAGATCTGTTTGACTGTCTGATCAGATTTTCCTAACTCTTGCCAAAGAGCTCCACTGACAAGAGAAAGGATTTGTACACTACACACTGTAATGTACAAAGATCAAATACAAAATCACATTTAAAACCCAACAGTGCCAGGACAATCTTTATACCTCACAAAGCAACAGAGCAGTGGAGGAGGAGCTGGGTTTGCTTTGAAGTTCTCCATTAGAGTTAAGAGGGATTTTATATGAGTTAATATTTCATTATAATTTATACTTCATTCACATTACAGTAGGTTTTAGTATGGAAACCTTTTGAAGACATGGCATTGAAAAATCCAAAATTCATGTGAGTGAAATAATGCATCTTAATGGCTTTAGGCTGTGCAAAATTAGACACATGTGAGCAAGATTAATGGAACCTCCCATCAGGATAATGCTTTGCATGCCCCTGAACATCTGTCCCACAAAGCCACAGCTGTGAAAGCCGCTCCTGTTGTAAATTAGTACCTGCTCTTGGAGATACTGCTCATCCTAGGAGAGTATTGTTTCACCGAGGGCAGAGAAGAGCGAAGCTGAGTCAGTATGGCATCCATGCCACCAATCACATGGTAGTGATTTTGTTCAGCAAGACTTATTTACCCCAGTGTAGGGAAACTCCTTTCAAGGGCACTGGCAAATCACCAAAGTGTTTATAATCTGTGGAGTTAGTGTTGCCTATATTTTCTGCTGGCCTGTATCGCTCACTTTCTCATATACAGTTTAACCTTTTGTTCTTTTGAGACCAATTTTCATCTACATCCAATTCCTGAGCCACCTTACCAAGTGGGTCATGAGGGCTAGTGCCAGCTCAGCAGAAGCTGTGAGTGTGTGCCTGTGAGCAGAGAGTACAGTGAAAAGGGCTGTCCCAGCTACAGCTGTGGCAGACTTAATCTGCTTAAAGCCATCACAAAGCCACAGTGTCACCTGAAGGGAGCCATGTAACATTCCGGTGGGAACTTCCCTTAATATTATTTTCCGGTATAAGAACTGAGAGCATCAGATGAAGACAGTAGAAGCCAGGTCTGAAACAAGAGGAGGGGGTTTAGATGAGCTGTGTAACACCTTGCTACTGGATGCTGCAAAGGTAAAAACCTGTAAACATTCAAGGAGTGACCGGAAAACTTTATGGAACAGAACTCTATTCAGGGTTACCAAATACTTAGAAACTCCATCCCAATCTGGATGCTCACAAGCTGCAGCCAGCTGGAAGCTGGGGGAGTGTTAGGAAGCAGTATAATTCACATTTGTGTGCTCTTGTTTTCTGTGGGCATCCACACTCGGCACAGTCAGACGCAGGATAGCGTTCTCGATGGACCCTTGGTGCGGTCTAGGACAGCTGTTCTCCTGGTCTTTATTTTGAACTCCCCTCTAAGATGAGCTGTCCTCTCTTTCCTGGTAGCTTATTATTAGAACTGGGTCACATGAGGCACTTGGGACTGTGCCTCTGTTGCGTTGACCGACATTCCTTCACGGGGAGAGCTCTGTGCTGGAGGTACAGAAACATAGCTTATATGGGAAAGGGAGTAGCATTTTTTTTTTTTCATGAGGTTCGCTTAATGCAGACCTTTAATTTTTGTGGCTGTTCCCCATTCCATCAGGGATGTAGTACTGAGCTAATCTGGGGAGGCACCAAGGCGTGTGCTGTATTTAGAGACAGCCACCTGCTTGGGAGCATCAAGCGGCAGCAAAGAGCACGCTTCAGCAAAACCTCCCTTGGGAATTCTGCGGCAGCGGCAACCAGCAGGCTCTCCTTGCCTAGATCTGCATGTGGCCACCAAAGGGGTCAGCGCCTGAAGGCGGCCAGAGCCCATCAGCCCAGGAATGCTCTGAGCCTGGCATTCCCTCTGCCCAGGAACTGCCAGATATTTTGGACAGCTGCAAGGTGGAATTAAATCACATGGGTAAAGAGCGGTCTAATCTCTACATAGGCGGTATGTAAGTGTGATCTGAGGCTGAGCTGTTCTGAAGGGCTGGGCAGTACAGCACTTGTTGCCATATGCTGTCCAACTGCTTTAGTTAGCGCCGTTAAACTCTGTTGCCTTAAAATAGACTTAAGATCAGCATAGAAGAAATCAAAAGGACTATCCATTAAAGAAAGAACCTACGCAACAGAATAAAATTAATTAAAAAGAGAATAAGACTCTTTATTGCTTTGCATTATTTTGTAATTATTCAAGATATAGATTTCATAAATCTGCAACATTTACCATATAAAGTAGACACATGATGCTGAGTAGCCTTAAATTGATCTATGATTTTTTACCTTTGTCAGTTTAATTTTAACAAGAATGGAAATTTTCACATTATTTTAATTATTTAATTCTAATTATTTAAGTATTCTAATTTTTGCTGCTTATATGACAACCTGATTTGCAGTTGAAATTTGTGACAAATAAAATATGGCTATTCTGAATTACAGTGGGCTTCCCGGTTTATTTCTCAAACTTGTAAGGATGGTTGTTTCATGCTGGAGCATGGAGTAAGCAGGCAGTCATGTCCACACAACATGCCTAGTGACCCATGTTATGCCAAAATGGGTTCTTCCCACCACCAGCAGGTTGCAAACCTGTTAAAATATCTGAAAGCACAATACAATATTTCCTATATTAGAGAAGCAGGAGGAACTAACGACCTTTTGGCTAATTGCCCATTGATTACTGCTAAAAGTGGACATTTTTTTAGGTATTAAAAAGGAAAGCCTAAAAATTAACAAGACAATGATGTTGGGGAAGTAAAACGAGGTTTTGTAAATGCAGATTACAAATGCAGCCTGCTTCCCAACCTCACTTCACTTCTAATCAGGAGCATGACACCCTGCAGATGAGGCCTGTGCACAGCGGGTGGCTGCCCACTGGTAGGTACTGGTGAGCACCCAGAAACATGGTTGTGCTGGTCTGGCCCTGGCTGGGGAAAGGGAGAAGCCAACACAACATAGTGACAAAGTGACAAACCTTTGCAGTTAAACCTCATAACTGTACTTGGAAATTAACTTTTTGCAGATTTGAGCTCAATAGGTAGTTAAAGCAAAGATTTAAGACCGTAAAAATCACTGAATTGTATTGTCTTAACATCACCATTGGATTTTAGATATTCTTCTAAGTGCAGTTTTAAGATCTCCTTTGCTTGTGGGTATATAGGCTACAAATCATTCTTGCGTGTTTATTTTCAATCACATTTGTCTCTTGGGTTAAAAAAAAGGACGGTGGGAAAAAAAAATAGAGATAACAACAGTGTGTGGATGTAGTAAGGAAAAGATGAACTTTGGGAACATTCAGCTAACAGGAATAAAAATGTAAACAGGTTTGTTTGCTAATGCAACAGCTGCTCGCTAATACTGAGCTTAAATACAAAGAGTTGCAGACTGCAATCGGTGAGACTGGAAGTTTATCAAGTGCTATGGATAGAATTTTCTTTATTCTGCCAACATCAATAAGACAAATATGAACAACACCTGAAAATAAGGTTTCATGGGATCTTCCTGAGGTGGAAATGGGGAACAGAGAGTATATTTGCATTTAGGGCCCAACCCAATACTAAGTGAAGTCAAATTAACAGAGGAT